ATTCAACCGAGCTACATTGTCTGGAACGCATTTTCCTTTAGGTCCTACCATGATACTAAGATGGATTGGAGAACAGTTAGATTAGAAGTAGCAACTTAAAGTGTGAAGACAAACTCTTGCTTCTGAATGCAAATGGGTGCGACGGCAGTAAGGTGTTTCTTCCGGACAACCAGCATCTACAGCGATACCGCCTTCTCTCAACGGAATGAAAGAATTGCAAAAGGTCGATCCTAAACATGTCACACCTTTTATTACCCCATGGATTCCTGTTTGCTGATGCAAGACCTTTTGAATTACGGAACCAACTTATCAAGAGCTTCCCTTGTAAAAGCCGTGTTTGACCATCCTCAAACAGTTGTCCCTTGAGTCCTGTGGTCATCTTCTTAGGACATTACGATTACTAATCTACTTGCTTTCCTGGATACCTGAAGAAATATTCTTCCACGATGTGGGCAGCCGGAAGTAACAACCACCCCCACTTGGAATCCACTAATAGCATCAATATAATATTTGTAACTCACCGTATGCTGACAGCATAGCACAATATTGTATCTCATAGAAGTCACTGTTACTTCGTCACGGTCTTTATCCTATGATTTACTTATCAAATTTTATTAACCATTCGCTCAGTATGAATTACAAATATGGCATGACAGAGGTGTACGGTATAAGTTGTACGTGACCAGTTGTATAAATATTTGATCTACCATTCCATATTATGCCACCACTTATTAAGGTCATGAACTAGTATATTCATTCTCTGAGTAGCAGTATTTTATGTCTTGAAAAATCATTCAACTAGACCCAAGATTGATTTTCCTAATAACTGGCGTGTTATTTTAATTTAATATTTCAAAGCTTATATGCCTAGCCATTTCTACTTCTTTATAATCAGAATTCTATTCAACAGCAAAAATTAGGGGTACCGAAAAGCAGAATAAATTTCGAAACAATATGAAAAGCATACGTACTTCTCATACACTCTATCAAACTTACTATTGTTTCCAATCGACCCCACAGAACACGCTGAAAGTACACTTTATCCACAAAAATATATGGATGTGGTCGGGTCAGCTGTTAATATTCAACATTATGTGTTAGTGTATTTCCGTTAATTTTTATTAACTAAGAATGTGGAGTCTAGTTTTTGTTTTTATAAGGAATAGGTCGCATGATTTCTCTATTCATCTTCGTTTCTGATGGGTACAGCACAGAAAAGGTTAGCCATTCTGATGTGTAATGCAAACTTTAACTTCCCTACTAAGGTTGTACGTCATCAAAAGTTAGCAGATAGAAGTGAAGTGGTATTTTTGGAATACTGGTAGATGGAATAAGATGAAATATACACAAAATATATTGGTTATAAATGAAGCAAAAACATTTTCCGTCAATCTGGTAATTCCTTTAACTTTATGCCTTTTTTCTTGTATTCTCAATTTCATTTATAGTCAAATGGATTGCCTGTTACACGACCAGTAAAAGTCTACTTCATATCTACTCGAGGAGCAGTTACTTCACTTGCATCTGTGGGAGACACTGTAAGTTAATTGTAAGAAATCTACGTGCTTTTTATTTTGATTGCAATGCTTATTGGTTGAATCGCTTAACTTTCAGTCACTGACTTCAAGATCCCCCAAACTTACTTTGGTTTTAGCAATCTCTTATTATTAGCAACTTTCAGACTTTGAGTGTACTCCAAATCAGATGTAGTTAATGGTTTACATAAAATTATTGTTATATATCGGTGGCTAAATCTGTAAAATCGAAAAAAATTTGTTAAAAAAATTGTTCATGTAATTCGCTTGTTAAAATGCTACACTTGTCATGTTAACCTACTGATGTGTCATACCTCCGTATGGAAGATAACAGATATCTACCTACTCTCCAGTTTTTAATTATTAGAATATACATGTTTGTCATCAATATTTATTGTAATAGTGACACATGGTCGTGTTCTTTAGTTAAAACCAATAGTTATTTATGTAGGAGGTATGTCACTTTGTTGTAAGCATCATCTTGCTTTTATTCATACTTTTTTTCTACTGTATTTAGCTAATCGCAGGTAGTTTAGATGGATCTGTTACTGTTATCGTAGTCAATGAACCAGCTTCAAATTACGTTTGTTTGGTGAGTTTTGACAAAATATCTTCATTATTTTATTAAACAACGATATTGCTGTATAAGTAATTTTTATGCTTCACAGACACATTGGGTTCGCTATGCTATTGCGGAGGTAGATTTTAAAAAGTTTAAGAATGGCGATATTCATGAAGTGATCAAATGTTGTTTTAAGAATTATCGCGCGTTTTACGCTTCTTGTTCCGAGTCCGTAGTATAATCGTTATCAATAGTTAGTGACTCAACAATCTATTTCGAAGTTGGTTGTAGTCGCACAGAAATACATTATTTAACTTCCTCTAAATCTTAGTTTCAATACTGTTTCCTACTTCTCATGTTTTTTTACATTTCGCTTTCGTTGCTACTAGTATTATTATTATTATTTCATCGCTGTTTTCGCCCCATAATGGCTTCTCAATGTGGCGATATAGTATAACTACTTAGTCAAACGCATTATTTTTGCTAAGTCCTGCATAGTATACGATTGACCAGCAATAGATAAGTATTTTACAGTCCTATACTGGCTAAGTGATTTAGATAATAGATCAATAACCGCACGTTTATGGCTGGAAATACTATGATTTAAAATAATCCCACATTTTTGTGCGAACCCGAGTTATACCCAGTAAATTAATTATTGCTTGATATGATGGAAAATAAGTCAATTTTCGATTGAATTACTCATTATAAGTTTTATTCAATATTACATCCGTTTTGATTCAACATGAGGATCATTCAGTGTAGTATTTGATTGTTTTTCCAGTATGATATTTTCTTCTGTATAATATACGATATTCTTGCATTCACTTGACATAAACTATGCTCAGTAAGTGATTTGTTATAACTGAGTATAAGTGATCAGCGTTTTGTTTTTCCGGCACAACAATTTTATAATTATATAATGTTGTGAAAAGGCCCAGTTCATCTGAGAAATGTGATCACTCAATACATGCACATATTCTGATCACATATATGCCAAGTTATGCGAAAATAGGGTAAGTACATCTGAGGATAAATAGGATGAAGAAAATAACAGGGTTTGTCATATTACGAGTAGCGAAATAACGTAAGTATTGGAGTCGTGGATACGTAAAAACATCAATTGTTTTTGAACCCATGTAGCTTTAGTGTGGGGATCTGTAGGTACCTGAAGTAAATAGTCATTAACTAAAACGCATAAGATTGCTTTGGGTTTAGCCATAAATAAATTATATTTGGGTCTAATTGTGTTGAGATAAATTGCTCAACTATCTCACAGTTACACATGTCTGATCATGAAATCATACTACACAAACACCAGGTAGGAATTCCTAGTTTGGCTACTGTACTTTTTATCCTTTGATGGCGGTTAGTGGTTATTCGAAGTTTATTAGAAAAGTAGCCCACAAATGTTTTATTCTTTCCAAAAGTTCTCGAATCTATTTAAAAATTAGTTGACTATTTCAACTTTTACAAAGTTACGGCGTTAAGATTTTATTTGACTAAGCTGTGAATGAGTTTTTCTTTCCAGATTATCCGAACCCATTAACCAGGATTTTTGAGTAAGCTCATACGTTCTATTCGCTGATATCACCGAAATTCTGTTCATACATTTGAATTTTTTCTTTTCTGAATATTTTATTTGTGAAATCTGACCAATTTTGTTTATGTAGCATAAACTCTTACGTTTACTTTTTTAAAACTATTTCCAGTACGGAAGAAAATATGGAGAAAACTGTGGTATCGGCTTCATGGATCGTCGTGACCTTATTAATCATGTGCTTACTGAACACCTTAAATTTGAAAGTAATAAAACAGTAATGTGTGGATGGAGTTCGGGTCGTTGCAGGGTTCGATTCACTGAAACACAAACTATGAAGGCAAGTTAAACTGTAATATACAAGTTGCATTTATAAATTATAACCTCAATCCATGAATCGGCCACACAGTTACGAATTCGAATCATAGTCGTTTCGATACATCGACAGTGCTGTCAGTTTTCATCAGTCTATTCATCCCCTGATAAATATATTGACTGTTGCTATCCTCATGGAATGTAGCTCCCAAAGGAATACAGCTTATTCTCATTCGAAGAAAAATGTTTCCTACTAATTGTACCTCTAACAGCACTAATTATATCACTGTGAAATCACTGGTACTTTAATTGAAGATGTTATATTTTGATTTCTATTAGGTACAAAGTGGGACACTTCATGAATAAATGCATCTAATACATTTTCTAAGTAGACTTCAAATTTTTCATAGTGATTATTTGAAACTATTTCGGCGTACTACATCGTCTCTTATATCTAGTTTTTCTTAAAATAATAGGTCAAAAGCAAGGCTGAATAAACCAACGATTTGTACTGTTTCAGCAATTATTATTATTGATATTCATCGCTTGATGTGTTGTGAAACCGATAAAAACGAGTATCATTGTAATTTGGTATAACCACAGTTTTGTGTTACTAGATTTACTTATCCTCAAGTAGTAAAAATGGATGTCCTACAGCTTGTTTTGTATTTATTCATTACTTAAGAATTTTTAGAATAGAATAATCGATACATGAAACACTCCAACAAACTGAATTTGCAATTTATTTGTATAAATTAGACCAAAGATTACTACTTAAGAGTAACTCTTATCAGTGATATGCATCTTTCATAACTTAAAACACTTTTTATATTTTTTCAGTCCATAAGCGATCATCTGTTGACTCACATACCAGACTAATTGATTATATTCAGAAAAAACGGCGAATTCAAATCATTTTTATTGTGGATTTCTATGTACAGCAGGAAAAATTATTGAATTTGGTTTCATGTATATTCATAATAAAAAAAGTAGCATTTTGTACATTCTTACTGACGGATTCTTTTTCTATACATAGTCTTTTCAAGTTTTATTGTCCAAAGTTTGCCATGCGAGATAAGATGTCTTGTTCGAATGTTTCAAAGTTAGACTTAAAATAAATAAAAAATATATACGATATATAGGTTAGTATGGAAACTTATGTAAGCGCACTTGTCTTTTTTTACAAACAACCGTACATTAACTGATCACTGAGTAGTGATAATCGTATTCTGTCAATCGAATATTAATTTGGGCACTAGTCTTAGCAACTAAACGCTGCATGAGCTATGTCTTAATATTAGATGGTTTTAATTTAGTTGGCAAGAAACTCTAAACCTAGGCATCGTACTAATTGATACTCGGCAGCGGAGCGTGCTTGTAATTCTAAGAAAACGGATGTTTCATAGTGCATTTGAACTGGGGTTCAAAGTTAACGATATATATTGACAAATTCTAGAAAATGAGTATTATGTCTTGTAATTTACTGTTCTACCCATGAAAAACTACCTTCATATTGCATTTAAGAAACAAAAACTAAATTACTTTTAAGTACCTTAATAATAGTTTTTGTAAGCTAACGGGATCATTGAAATATTTATGCTAAACAAACTGTCAGTGTTGGACTGTGAATACTAATTGTCGCAAACGTTAACTCACTAGGACCTCCAGAAAAGTACCACGACGGATTGTAATACTTAACTAGAACGTTTGTGACAACTAAATATTCTTCCTTCTGTTGCTCTACATTTATCTTAACAGACTTCGTCGCACATGTTTTAATAATTGATCATGAAAGCTAGATGCAATTTTATAACAAGTAACTAGTACCTTACCTACTCAGTAACAGATTTACACCGGGAAAATTTATCTGGTATTACAGAACAAAAATCATTTAGAAAGATATATGTCCAGAGAATCTGACATTTATGGTAATTTATTTGCGTTGCTGACGTAACAGATTGACAAAGTTATTGAAAATCAGGATTGTGATATTTTAATTCACAACGACCAGAATATTGATAACTTTGAAACTGAATACATCAAACTGTCGGATTTTAATACACTCCATTGATTTGTGCAAAGAACAACTAAACATCAGAAATATTAATTGAAGAGCTTACAGTTGTACGACTGTCTTCGGATATTGAGAAGAAAGACCTACTAAATCTACAGGGATAAAAACCCTGATCAGCTAAATAGCTCGTAGCATAATTCTCCTTTAGCATTCTCTCACAACACCCTTTACCATACTATTAATGATTTTTACACACACTACCTCTATTTAAGTCGATTACTTGCTATGGTTAGATGTCAGTAAGTAAACAAACAGACAATACAATCAACCTAACATTGCATACTTCAAAAGACGACCAATGATTCGATGTGTTTACTAGATTGTATTTCATCGGCATATAACTGAATGAATACATTGAAAGAACTCATCAGTTTAAAATATTTTGCACTTTATCTACGTATAATACTAGAAGATCCCTTTAAGTTTTACTTTAAACTGACGACTGTATTAAACTACTCAATATGCGTGCAACGATTTCAATATACGTACAAATAGTATTTTAACTTATGAACGTTATTATCTATCTACGCCACTTAATGAAATCTATTTATTCAAAATAGTGTCGTTAGATTTCCTATGGAAATATTCCATTTCCGCATACAACCTACAACATGTGAATTCTACATGCTTCTTATTTTTGTTCTTTATTGATTCGCAATTCAAAGCATAGTTTTCTATTACTACTAGTTACTTTACTATTGTGCCTTTCGATATGGTTGTTATTCTGTTGCTTGTTAATTACAAAACATTTCTACACTAGTATAAATCGGCATAATTGACTGGGTGCTTAATGTGCTCAATATATTGATGCATTTTGTGAATATGAATAACAGAGACAAGTGTCACATGAAATCTTACTACAAATAAAGCGTGATTGAAATCGACCATACCTTATTATTTAGAGTTGGTTCATATATGAATTTATCTTTTTCCACTTGTTTATCTTTGACGTTATTTGAATCACTAACCACATTTGTGTTACTTATTGACAACCATGATAATTGAAGGGGTAAACTTGGAAGACCAACTGCCCCACGTTCAGATGCCTTTATTGCTTTTTTCTATAACGAAAAACAAAATTTAAAATCGTAAGTGATATTGGAATGATTTAGTTTACATTACATTGGTGAAATAAACTTACGTGAATAAATGACGTTCAGTATCTTGAGTAAACAACTGTCTATAAATACTTGCACTTTTTTGTTTATGGTCGTAGTAGTTCTCCGAGTTTCATCTCCGTATAGTGGAACTGTTCTGACGTCCGTATTGGAGATTCTGACTTTGATATTGGTTGGCAATTGTTTTTAGTTCTATATATTCTTCAACTGTAGGAGTGCGACCCTTGCTATCTCGACCTTCTCATTACATCTGCATCAGATCCTCCTTGTTCATCTGTGATGCTGTCCAGGTACCTGAACGTTCCCACCTCTTCCAGAGTTTTACCATCAAGTGTGATTGGGTTGGTGTTCTTCATGTTGTATTTGAGGATCTTGCTTTTTTCCTTCTGTATGTTGAAGCCTACCGTTGCAGAGGCTACTGCTACACTGGCTGTCTTCACCTGCATTTGTTGCTGTGTATGGGATAGAAGAGCCAGGTCATCTTCGAAGTCCAAATCGTCTAATTGCATGCAAGCTGCCCATCGTATTCCGTGCTTCCCCTCAGATGTGAAAGTCTCTATAATCCAGTCAACCACCAGAAGAGAAAGGGGAGAGTAAACAGCCTTGTCTGACTTCAGTCCTTACTTGGAATGAGTCTGTTAGCTGTCCTCCATACACGAATTTTGAAGATGGGATGTAATGCTTTTCCTCGAGTTGATCAGTCCATTTTTATCTTCGTTTTTATCATGAATACAACCAGGTGATGATCTGAAACTATGTCAGCTCTTCTCTTTATTCTTTTGTTCTTCAAGGATCTTTTGAATTTGTTAATCATGTAAATGTGGTCGATCTGGTTTTCTGTAGTATGGACTGGTAAAACTCATGTAGCACTGTGTGTGCGTTTGTGGAGGAATATTGTGCCACCTATAGCCATTTTGTTGAATGCACGTAAATTTGCGAACTACTCACCATTCTCATTCGTTTTTTCCAGTTCATGTCATCCCATGTTATCTTCGTATCCGGTGTTGTCCATTCCGACTTTGGCGTTTAGGTCTCCCATTAGGATACTTCTATATGAATGATTTCAGCATCTCATAAAACTGATATTTATCACCTTCGTTGCTATCATTGGTGATTGCACAGCATTGGATAACATTCATTGTGATTTCCTCCTTCTTTGTCGTTAAGGGTGCTTTGATGATCCTCAATCCATGAAATGTCCATCCTATAAGTGCTTTATGTGCTTCTTTGGACAGCATCAGTGCAGCTCCCTGAGTGTGCTGAGCATCTTTATCCTTATGATCAGAGCACAACAGCATCTCTCTCGAATCTAATCTCTGTCCAGCTTGGCTCCAATGGGTTTCAATTATTCCGAGCACGGCCAATTTCTACCATCTCATTTCCGTAACTATTTGACAGGTCCTACCGACCTCTCACATTGTCCGGAGCTTCCACGTATTTACATAAATTGTCACTGCGGTTGTTAGGAGGGGCATCCTCTTCGTGACTGTCGAGGATTCCCGGCTTTCACTGTTAGGGGCCATAGTTTTTCTGAATGAACATCCTTCGACTCGGAGGACAAAGTCTAAATGGTTTAAATTATTTATTCAGGTTAGTATTTTAGCAAGATTGTTTTCTACTGGATGGGGTTGCTGACCCCATAACCAACCCTCCCTTTTTATTCGGGCTTGAGACCGGCAGTAACCCTAAGAGAGCTACAGGCAAGGTAATTGTAGTCGATCAAGGCACAATGTCTTTGAACACAGGAACCAATTATTAAGTGTATAACAGGGTGATCGAGTCACTTAGTCATAACACAACAATCCATCTTTTAGCGTAATAACAAATATGAATAAACTTCGTTAAAACTCAACTTACTGCTTCATTATAGGTGGAAAACTCAGCAATGGCACTGCCACGTTTACCAATGACGAAAGCTATCACGTCACCGAACTACAAATAACAATTAAAAGTACTTAAGTAAATAGTTAACTAACAGGTATTTCATCTATCTCTTAAACTTAATAACCAGTTTGGATACTCATTTTGTGGTAAAATGTGCTGGTTGAATAGTGTACAATATAGTTAATTGTCCAACAGTAAATACTACATGTGTATATTGATAAACAGGAAAATATTCACTATACTAAAATTTGGCTTTCTAAGATATTTAGAGTACAATAATTTAGACAAATTTGCTTAACTGTCCTAAGTTTGAGTGAACAGTTACAATATTGTTTGGATTCAACAAGGAAAATGCAGCCTCAAATACAGCACGTATGTGTCTTACGCACAGATGGAAATGGTTTGAATGACTATATGGCAAAATCCTTGTTTGTTTGCACTTGCCTTTGGTTGCTGCTAAGCAAACTAACAAGAATTTGGCAGAAAACAACTTGTTTATTCGATTACACGCGTAAGGTATTGAATGAATTTCGGAAGTGTTATATGTGATTTTCTCGAAGAGAATATTCAAAGAAACGAGTAGTGTATCGATTAAGTAACGCATCTTATTTACTTTCATGAATAAAGATTTTATACGAAATAACATGCTGAACAAATAAATTAATATGTTAGTAATATCCCAATGAGTAGCAAAATTAGATTTTCTGACGTTTCGTGACTTAGTGTAAACCAAATTTAATTATTTACTCTCTGAAGAAGTGGCTTACACAAAGTCACGAAACATCAGAAAATCTAGTTTTTCTACTCATTGGGATATTACGAATATATTATTTATTTATAACAATCTACCCAATGCTCAATTTATTCGAAATTATCAAATCAAACCTTGGTAATGATACCTACAAACTCATTAGTGCTAAACAGTTTTTGGACCTATTTCATCATATGTAGAGTCTAACTACAAAATATATACATATACAGATGGGCCTAATTCACTACCAAATATTGAGTAGCATAAGTAAGTCCTATGTAAATAATGTACTGCGTTGCTGCGAAACCTTATATGCGGGAAACTGTTAGGATGATGGTTCTGATAGATGGGGAAAGCGACCATATATAGTTGTCTAATACATGTCCTTTTTTCAATGAACTACCGTTCAGTCAAACATAAGCAACGTAGAACCTAGCACATATATGCATAGCAAGTTCCCATACAACAACGATACAAGACAAAATTAACACAATTAAACACCTTCGGGAGCTGAGTTGTAAATTTTGGTTTAGAAATTCCCAGTCTCTGAAATAAATTTACGAATTCAAATAGACATCTGATGGTTTTTCAATATTCATTACTTTTTAAATATACCTCTGATAAACATGTTCTTAGAAACGATTCTGTGTAGCAAGCGTTGGCCTGAAAGTTTTCTCCATAAGCCCATTTTATCTGTTTAAAACAACAAGAAAAGTAACTAGTGAACAAGATCATAAAAGTAAGGACATTTTCATATGCGTAAGTTTTTTTAAGGCAGTAAATTACAATTTCTCCCTACTTTGAACGTACCGAACTTTAACAAGTATATTAGAGTTTTATACGTATGTCCTGCAACGGTTATGCAATGTTTGCATAACTGTATTACTCAGTACTAGTGTAGTGAACAAGAAACTAAGTGGGGACAATCAAATGTATTTGAACACGAAATTACAGAACATCTTTCTAAAATCTGAGAACTATACAGTAAATACCTAGTTTGCAAAATATCAATCAATTGTCTCAAACTTGACTGTTTCATTTGCAAATATCAGTCCATCGTCTTGGATTTTATTGTTCCTGCATTTTTATACCGATTTCTTTCCGTTCCAGTTCTTTTTTTCCTCCTCTACTGGAATACATTCTATTCCTGACTACCGTAACATACTACTTATGTGGATATAGGTAGCTCACACCATATAGTAACTGGTATTTTCATAATTGCTTACATTATCCATTTTTCACTGGTTTATTAAGACATAACACCTGTGCTCACAATTAGTACGGACTCAGAAGTATTGAAATAACCAGTTTTTGCATTCGCTTAGGAACTAGACTGGTCAGGGTTTAATAGCTGGGATTCAGCAAACGTTAGTAATCAATAAATAAATCATAACTTCTGAAAGTAGGAATAATTTATTTGTTTTTAACAACCCTCTAAATTCACAATATTTGTCCTCAATACTCAACACAGCAAAGCCATTTTGAACTAAAACCATATCAAGCATCATAGCTTGAAAATGTATTTGTTTCATTTGGGTTAAAATAAGAACATTGTACAGGAGAAAATAACTGGTTCACACTGTGCTTCTATCCAATGTGTCTTAAAACCCACAGATTACCGAATAAATATAGATCAAAATTAGAAATAATCTCAAAAACACAAATTACATTTGCAATAAGCATTTACATTCTTCGGATGGGGATTTAGTTTAACGGCTTTAGGAAGGCTTGTATTCTCGACTATTTTACAGAATCGGTTTGTATAATAATGGTTTTCTGTCTCTTTATAATTCACTCCCTTTAATACTATGTTGAGGGTACAAAAAAGTCACTAATACTAACATTTCTGAGAATGTAATGGATTTCAATGTATTGATTTCATAACTACTATAATTAACAATGACCATGAATGTCCTTTGGCAATAAATAATCATCGACAATACTTAACTTCTATTATTCAATCAGTCAGTAACAACGTAGAACTTCGTACGTACGTACATCAGTTCGAGTTGCCACACCACATTTGCACAGAGATGCAGTGGTCGATTCAAACCCCGTACTAGTAGAGATGGTAAGAGTACAGACAGTAATTGGAAAGATTAGGGTTTGAAGATGTTATTCAAGGAGTATAATCCAGCGAAATAAATTTGGAAAGAGAAAAAAGGGACATAAAGAATTCAGAAGATTAAAATTTGGGAGAACACAAAGACTGTATGCACCTGCGCCATTGCAAACGACTTTGAGCCACGTCATTCAGGGTCTCTCACCATCGGTTGCTATCATCTCACGGTCCCCAACCACGTAGTCTACACCTACCAATATGACTCAGTTCACTTGTCAGTGATTTCGTGGACTTGTGCCATGTTTTGGTTTGGCCGCCCCTAGCTTTCTTCCAATCTACTCCTATACAACAAAACATCGCACGTCGAGGCAGTCGGTCGTTGGGCATACGTAACACGTGTCCCAGCCATCTCAACTGATGAAGTTTCACTACTTCATCAATTGATTTGCCATCCTTACCTAGTACCCGTTTCCTAACAACTGCATTACTTACTCGATGGTCCCAGGATATGCGAGCAATATTTCGAAGACACCTATGATCAAATACTAGTAACCTACGGATATCCTCTACTCTTACCGGCCATGTTTCACTGCCATAAAGTAGGACGGAACGAACTGCTGCGCAGTAAACACGTCCTTTGGTTGATAGACGGATATCTCGCCTACGCCACAAATGACGCAAGTTGGCGAAAGCTAGTCGAGCCTTCTGTATCCGTGCTGAGATTTCGTCACACACTAAACCACAAGGGCTGATGAGACTTCCAAGATAAGTGAAGCGGTCGACATACTCAACTACTTCACTCCCTATCACTAGTTCGGGTGTCGATGCAACCCAATCCTCAAGCAACATTTTGCATTTCGAGGGAGAGAATCGCATCCCGAACATGCTTGCATTGTTGCTTAGAGTGGTCAGAAGACTCTGCATTTTGTCAGCGTCTTCACCGAATAGGACTATGTCATCGGCATATTTTAGGTCAACAAGTGAATCTCCCAGTAGAAGTTCAATCCCTGGAAATCTAGACGAGGGAAGTGTTATTTCTAAAAGTACGTCAACGACAACGTTGAACAAGAATGGAGAGAGTGGACAGACCTGACGAACACCACTTGAGGTAATCAATTCTGATGACAGTTCGCCATAAGCTCTCACTCTACCAGTTGTGTTCGAGTAGAGAGCCTTTATAAGGTTAATGTACTTCTTTGGTACTCCTTTCAGTGACAAACACTGCCGTAGAACATCACGATCAACAGAGTCGAATGCCGCCTTAAGGTCGAGAAATACTACCATTGTGGGGCGTCTGAATATGTGTCTGTGTTCTAGAACCTGACATAGTGTGAATATCTGGTCTATACAACTACGTCCAGGTCGAAAACCAAACTGGTTCCTCTATGATTGTCACAAGAGGACTTTTGTCCTTTCTTATAGACTGGCACAATCAGTGATTGAGACCAGTCAGATGGGATTACGTCCAGTTCCCAAATTCTACCTAAGACCTCAGTTAATCTCATTGCTAATACTGGACCACCATCCTTAAAAATCTCAGGAGTAAACCTGTCAGGGCCTGCTGCTCTCCCTCGTTTCAGATTTCCTATGGCTTTTTCAACTTCGTAAAGAGTCGGAGGACCTACATTAACTTGCCATTCAGGTTGACTAGAGATCGTGGGAAACCGAAGTGTGGCTGAAGGCCAGTTGAACTGATCCCTAAAGTGTTCTGCCCATCGATCCAATCTCCTGGATTGAGAATGAATAATATGTCCATCTTTCTCTGAGATTGTTTCGCTAACGGTCGGGTTCCTAATTCCGGTTTCCTTAACGAGTCTGAACAATTGTCTGCTATTACCTATTGCCGCTGCCTTTTCCATCTCTCTTGCTTTCGCTACCCACCACTGTTCACGATCATTGCGTAGACTTCTTGTCAGCTTGCGCTTAAGCTGACTCCGCTCTTCATTATGTTCAGAGCCAGGTGGAATGAGTTTCCGAGCATCTATCAGTGCGATAGATGCTGCTGAGATCCAGTGTTGCTCCCTAACCTTCTGGTTTACCTTACTAGCAGATATCACTGCTGTTTCCACAGCTTTTCGGATATCATTCCATGCTGCATCGGGGTGGGCATCACATACATGGCTGCCTAACTGTTTTCCTAGTTGTTCCTGAAATATACTCTTAGCTTGACTATCATTAAGTAGGCCCTAAGAGGTTTCCTTGCAGCGTCTTTCCTACGTCCAGTAAGACGCAAGCAAATACGCGCTCGCACTAGAGCATGATCTGAATCTAGGCATGTGCTCCAGAATGAGCGACAGTCTTCTATCGAGCCCCTCCATCGGTGGCTGATAGCGATGTGATCTATTTGGGTCCAACGTTGGGACGAATTAGGGGGTCGCCATGTTAAAAGATGTTTTTCCTTATGCTTAAAGTTAGTATTTGCAAGGAACAGGCGGTTATCTGAGCATAGCTGCAACAGACGGTCGCCATTATCTGTTCTTTGAGCCACGACCCATAAGATCCACCTAGGTGTCTTTCCTATCGCTTAGTTTACCTACTTGAGCATTAAAGTCACCGGCCACTATTACTACATCCGAGCGCCTAGCTTTTCGGAGAAGGTCGGAGAGCTTTCTGTAAAACTCATCTTTTACATCATCTGAGCTGCAGTCAGTGGGAGAATAGGCAGAGACGACGAAGAGGCAACGACGAGTGTCCCTATCTTTCCGGATCCTTACTGTTCCGTTCAGTCGGACAGCGCACAAACGACTGTCTACTGGGATCCACTCTAAGAGAGCTAGTTCTGCCCTAGGACTCAATGCTATACCTACGCCGGCGAGGCCACGGGAAGCAGAATCAGGGCTTCCAGATACACGAAGCGTAAATCGAGTCGGTTCTTTATTTTGGCATGGTGAGGTCAAATGAATGACGCTACTCGGATCCTGTATGCGCGTTTCGGAGACGCAGCACACATCGATGGCGCGAGATTCTAAAGTTTTAGCTAAGGAAGCCTGTTGTCCTATTTGGCAAAGTGTTCGTACGTTAAAAGCTCCTACGTGTAGTTTAGAGCGTGGTTTCAGGAGACCAGGAATGGCGTTCCGCGTACTCGAATCGTTTGCCCTAGCGGTGCGAGGTGATAAAGAGACGTGAGGAGGGTTAGTCATGGAGATAAGAGAGGTATTAGGAGGTGTAGGAAGGATTTGAATGTGACCAACTTGGTCTCGTGTGCTGTTACGGGTATGAGGGCTGATGTCACTTCCCGGCTGCCCACACCGTGGAAGGGTATTTCTTGAGGAACCTGAAAAGGAAATTGGATTAGTGTTGGTCTTGACGACCTGGGAGCGTGACCGCAGAGCCCAAGGGACAACTGCTTGAGGCCGGTCGCGCACGGCCTTTTTGTGGAAGGTTTTTACTGTGTTAGCTCCGTTCTTCAAAGGGCCTTACCGCCGGAGACGGAAATCCGTGAGGTAAGGTGAGGTGTGACATTTTTAGGGTCGACCTTTTCTAACCCCTTCCTTCCTTGTGGGAAGGCAGCATCGCTGCAATGCTGGTTGTCCGAGTGAGACACCTTACTGCTGTCACACTCCTCTACAGTCAGCAGTACGACTTCGCCCTCAGACCTTGAGTTGCTGCTTTTAGTCTTACCGTTCTCCAATCGACCTGCCTGGCATGGTAGAACCTACAGGAACATATGTTCCAGCCAATATAGCTCGGTTGGGTCATCACGATGGGCAAGCCCGACCACCGCGCCAAGGTAGCAGCTACGGTCGGGACTTTCATTATGAGATTATTAGGTTCAGTTCGGTTTTAAGTGAAACTGCTCGTCAGTTTCTGATGTCAGGTTAAACAGGGTATTACTAAGATATCTACTACACAACGTGTAACTGTTCTATTCAAGCTGAAAGCTCTCAAAAAATCATTCTTACTAAATAACTTTCTTATTTTATTATGAGATGAGTTGTACACATATTCATGATTTTAAAGTATAAGTGCCAGGATTTGACTATCAAAGAAACGGAGCAGAAAGAAGATTATCTTTAGTTAATGAAGGTTCATGGAAATAAAGACGAAATCTAATAGTTTAATATTAGCATTAAATCTATCGATTACGTTCAAGAAACTGGTTAAAACTTACTTTCACCACAGCCTGATCAGATTTAGTACATTTGAACTTCACATCGTCAGTCTCCTCATTTGTAGATTTTCGTTTCCTTTCAGCTTGCCACTTCATTTCTTCAGTATGGCGTTCCCAATCTCTGCGAATCTGGTCGGCCGCTTGTTGTTTAACTACAGTTTCAAACTGCCTCTTCCGCAAAGCCATGGCAGCCGCTTCTCTCGCTTCTAGCTCTTAGTTAGGAATAAATGTGGAAATTTCATATACATAAGAATAACTTTGAAATATAGCAACTTTGTAATACAGTTATGTAAGGTATGAAATAATAAACTTTGGTATTCAGCACAGCATACAAAAATAACTAAATCAGTATATCAAAACTGCTTCGAGCAATAAAATCTATAGATATCAATTTTTCTCTATATTGATTTGTTTTTCTATTAGATGTAAACTTGAGAATAGAAGAACCAGCAGCAACAAAAAAGTCTGTTGATAAAATTAACACAAAGTTAATGAGTACGTAGAATTCCATATCCTAACACAAACCTGAGTCAGTTAACAACTAACTGAAAACAGTGATAGCAGTCATGACTCAGTTTGGTCACTTCATGAATCAAACGAACTCCACAGCTAACTCGAGAAATACATGCGAAACATCTATTGAATCCGATTGAACGTTCCTTCTGATTATATGATAGCAACGAGGTCATACACAAGTGTACTATATGATGGGAACTCAAAATGAGTAGCCTGAAGTAATATACGCGTCCTACTACAAGGAAATCATTAATGAAGTTTTCGATTCACTTTTTGTTATAACAGTTCTAAAGTCTATTGATTGCTACAAAGTGAGGAAAACTATTTCGCACTGACAGAAAATTCAAAAATCTTCCACCAACGAATTAGAAGAGTAAACGAACGATTAGGCAATTACAAATAAACTCATTAAAGTTAAAGAATTTTTATCGTGTTTTACTAACTGAATTATATGACGATACTTGTTTATACATTTAAGTAAAAAAGCAAATGAGGTGAGACTATAATTTAAGGACAACCTCTGAGCAACACTAAAGTGACCTCGAGTGTCCACCTACCTACTAAAACTAAATGAGGGTTATCAGTCAGTCAGCTACAACGTAGGATCAGGCACATATGTGCATCGGTCCAAGTTGCCATACCTCATTAGTACAACAAGATGAACACCGGATTCATAGTAGTTAAATCAGTGGTGGTAATATGTAAAAGATTGCATATAAGAACATAGTACAGGAAGGGAGAATTAGTTCGTAGAAAGAAAGATATGGGAAGAATAAAGATTATGATTTACAGTTGATTGCTAGGGTTGTAATTAGATTCCGGGTTTTCATCACTAACTGACATCAGCTAAAATGTTAAAAGGTTATTTAGCCAAATGGATTAATGAATTTCACGTCAAAACCCAAGACCAGTTATACTAAATCTGGTTGATTTGTCCATAAATTATAGTCTCGCCGCAACCGCTTTGAAATATCTGTCATGCTGTATGACTAGCAAAGTAACATTTTGGTAACTACTTCATATACACTTTTCAAGATAAGTCTACTCAGAAAAATTTAGATAGGCGGCACGCATCACGAATATATCAATAAAAATAAGAGGACAGGACTTCATAGCTTACCTTCTTTAAGCTTTCTTCGTGACGAGTCCATAGATTCCATTCTTTTAATAGCCTCTCTCTTTGCTTTCCATTTCTGATCATATTCTTTCTAAATCACATTAAACATAGAAATACCCTATTAAAAAGCCTTAAGAATTAATGGAAATGATTATGGTCAACAGAAACGTGATACATGTATCGAATTTACATACAAAAGCAAACAAATTGACAAAGTGCATAAATCCTTTAAACAAACGTGGCGTTAAGTTTGATCCTGAATGGAATACAGTAAGCCATTATTTCGAATTTTAAAGCAGACAACCATATCGATATTAGGATTTCTGCACCATAATTTTCAACACGTTTTTACGACTAGTCATGATAAATATTATATAACTTGTTGCCTTGTGGGGAATACTTACCCAAAGAAGTGCAATGTGTTGTCCAGAACATTACTGATAAGACGAAAGCTGAATTTACAATTGATATACAGGCTTTTTCTCGACAAGAAAATACTAGTGTAACAAGACGAACTAATCTCATGAAATAGGAGCGCTTGTAGTCTGCATATTACTCATCTTTTGTGGCCCACTAGAATTTACTGCCATGAATAATAGCGAGCGATGATCCGGGTGCAGTCCCCTAAGTTGGACTACATTCTAAAGGTTCCCAACTCCAGACACTATATTGACACAACCAATACACAAGCATATATCCAAATGTTTTTTTGTTCAAGTAATGCGTTAAACTAATACATAAATCCTGAAAACTAAGCTTCATACTCAATAATACATAATAAAATGCTGTCTGAACAGCCGAGTAATATAGTTAGCAAGACTGAAATTTCTGACTGAGATTAACACAAAAATTTAACTTTAAATACCAAGTTTTCATACTTTCGGGTTTGATAAATTATAAAAATAAGCATTCATGCGCTTAGTCACAAACGTTGGGTCAAGACTTCAGGTTACAGTGACATTGACTCTTTTATTCTACATCGAACTCAGTTTTCCCATATAAACTGAACATTTATATGTATCAAAGATTGTATGCAGTACGCACTTAGTCATAACTGGGATATACCTATGACATTTTGTTTTTAAAGGGATAAAACTTCATTCTCTTTCGGGTGCACAAAACAAAATTACAGTGAACCTTATACGCCTAAATTTTAAATATCTGATACATAAACCTCAGTAATATAGAATGTATACAAAAGATGAATATTGAGATAAACCCCAGTCCATGATGACGCTCTAAAACTTAAAGGATATTGTTTTGCATGAAGGGTAACATAGAGTTCCCAATTTAATAATTTGAACGATCTACTTACGACAGCCCATCTATCTAGTTTATCAACACACACATTATCAAGAAACAAGATGTGTTCATGATATCATCAAATATGTTTTAGTGAAAATAATGATGATTGTTCATTTAAAAATACTATCAATTATTATTAGGTTGGATTTCTGGAACAGCTCAAAACAGAAATGATATGTGGTTAAAAATAATAAAATTTGAATAAGATCACCATAACATACCCTTTTAACGGATCGTGAAGAATTTCAAAATAAATAGCCAGTTGCTGAAATGATTCCTCTTAGGAAATAATTACTAGGTATGATTACATACTTGCCAACGGATTGTCTTGATTTTTATCAGGATGTGCCTCCCTTGCCTTCTTCTTATACGCTCTCTGAATGTCCTTTGCAGTACAATCATCTCTGAGGCCGAAGTACGCGTACAAATCAACATCCATCGGAACAAGACGCTGTTTATGACTCAGAATTCGACACTAAAGTAACTAATGTCATCGAAGTTGCGCTCACTGCGAGTGTCCCGCGTTACGCTTTTGAAGCATTCCAACATCCTCATGATGAGCTTTTTGAGTGGATTGGTTAATTTAGGCTTGTGTCTTGGTGTAAGGCTGTAGTTTTAGGTATGGTTTTTAGGTTACAATGATGTATCAAAAGCCAAGTGGTTTTATATACTAATTATTCACAGTATTTTGAACTATGAAACTAAAAGCATATAAATTTGAAACTTCAGTAAGGTGTGTAGAATATTTTTAAGAGGAAGTGTTATTTAACCAGTTTCTTTATGTACATGTCTTTTTGTGCGAAGCATTAAAGTATTGCACGCGTCAAGTGCCATGTCAAGCTCTAATGAGTTATTCTAGCATATGTACGTACCAGTTTATTCTTTCTCCTTGAGTTTCATCTTAACCTTGTTGGTTATCCACTTATCAACCTACTTTTTGTATGTGAGCGTGTATATGCATTGCTTATCACAATTCAGTAGCTTATTTTTGTCAGACTATAAATTTTGAGTCACGCTTGATCAAGTTGGGTTGGCTTATACTCATTCTCTGCTCATCTTCCACTTCTTGCGTTTTGTTCTGAATGTACGCTTGGACCAACAAGTGTACAAAATATATGTATTAAAATTCGTTTTCGTATTCATCTTATTTCATTCTGTTATTCTGTTACGTGAAATTAGTCGGTTGTGAGGTATAAAAATAGTCGGGATCTGTATTTCGACATCACTCGTACAATCAACCGGAGTCACTTACTGAACTACGTCATGAAATATTAATTTAAACTCCTAGACCTTATTAGACGAATATAGTTGTCGTTAATCCACTTGACATCTTATTCTAGGTTGTAGGAGTTAGGTCTTGATCGTAGATCAGATTTTATTGATTTGGATATTTCGCGTGATCGTTTATCTTTATCCATGATTTGGAAAAGTAATTTTCATATGCAAATGTGACAGTCAGTCTCCCTTGGTTCATTCCACAAGTCCGTTGTTGACATAGGCACTATAGAGTCTATTATTTCATTCAGGTACTTGAAATCTTTAGATTCTAACTCTGTAATACGACCCAATGTAGTCTCAGTGTTGACAATTACTGGACGAAAACCGCCCATGCGAAAATGCTGTGCATTGCCAATGAGATATGATAGCTCTTTATACAGGCCTCGTTAGGTACTAGATAGTCAAACAGGAATATCTATGCTGAGTTTGAAAAGGCTTAAATTAAAGTCGTTTCTATTAACTTCTAAAAAACGTTTCGATGTTACTGATAATAGTTTGATAGCTACAGGTGCTGAGTGCAATGATGATATGATAGTACAGCCTCCAAGTACAGGGTGATTCGATTTTTCTTAGAAATCGAGTTGTAAAATGTGACTAATAGGCGAACCCACCAATGATAAAGTGAAACGCCCACCACCACATTAACTCTCTTTGACCTTGTGCGACTGTATCTCTTTATTAACCAACCGCAGTTTGATGCTCATTGTAAGACAATATTTGCTTTTTTGACTCATTTTTCCTATTCTCTGGCTACTGTTCGGTATGTTATTTGTCTAGAGATTAGCTTAGAGTTGAATCTTTAGGAAATTGCTTCTTACACGAGTAATTCCTCATGGCTTTCCAGAAGCATTATGAAAGGTATTAAATGACCTTTACGCAAATAAAATAACTGAACCGATTCAGTTTTCAGTGTCAGAGACTTTTATTGTTGCACACTTGAAGCCTGACATCAAGATACTTAGAATTTCTGATGTTTATAAACTATCACTTAACTCGTTTCTTGAATTAAATATATACGACAGCGGAAGGTGGGGCTATTCTCAACTGTTCTGGAGCATTGGTTTGAAAGATGAATATCCGAAAATTCTTATAGATAAATTTCATCTTTTGACAACAATGACAACTTCGTCTAGTCTGTCTTAATATGACCTTACTCCATCTGATCTAAGTTGTCCTATAGACACATTTCAAGCGTTAATGAGTATTGTAGTCAGTAATCTTGAGGCTACTGAAATTTTCCAAGGTGATCCTATCATTCACTGTATTGCAACATAGCTCATCGTTAGAGACTTATTGTCTTATTGCACCGTTCATTTAAGAAGAATATTCCTGTAAGACCGAATAGATGTTCATTTTGTGTATCTAGTTTTGAATGTCTTGAATACTTGTTGACGAAAGTGGTTTTAAAGCAGGTATGAAGTGACTGATGCTCTATCTTCAAAAGTCTTACAAAACTACGCTCACTAGTTGGTGCATTTCAATAATATTCCTGTTTCACTTTTTATGTTTTTTTGCCATGCTATATCTTTATTTCAAACTTGGACATTCAATCCATATAGATGGGTTAAGGAACAAGATTCATGCTTACAACATCTACTAAAGGTTCCTAGAAGTTATGTTGTTCTTCGAACTTACCTCCCCTTGTGTGCATTCGGTATTTTTCGCTGATGCACAACGCAAGGGTATCACTGCAATTTGGGAGTAAGAATGTTAACCAACAATCTGTGTTTTGCGCAAAAATGCTGTTGATAAAGACGAATATTCATAAACTCAGCAAGAAACATCATCTGTATTTTAGGCAGTTTAAAGATTATAAATATTTATTCGGAAAGAAACTGGCTATTGTTACGCATCACGAAGCTATAAATTTTATTCATAAAACTGAACAATCCTTAGCACGTTTCCCAGTTGCTATAGTTCAAAGGTGGAGTATTGATTTGGGTGCCTATCACTACACGGTTCAACACAGGAGTACCAAACATATTCAACATGAGTCTAAGAATCATCCTTTGAGGTTAACTCCATGTACAGTTCTTACTGAGGCTTGACAGAGGATCCATACAATCTATTACGGTCCATTTCTCGGTAAATGCTACGGACGTGTTGTGGCTCATTCATTTCCCGAAGGGCCTGAGTTTTCTTTGACAACTTAACCAAGTTCTGACGTGACAGTCCAAGCGATAAAGAGATTTTTAGCCGCTATGGGTGTTCCTATGGTATTGCTAACTGATAATAGCCCTCGTTTCGCTGCAGACCCAGTTACTACCTGGTTGAATGGGATAGGCTGCAGACATCTGGGAAGAGTGGTGAAGAATCTTGGAAAATCTATGGTTCAAATTTTAGATATCTATGATTTGAATGCACACAGCAGACTTGTTGATCAAATACAATTCCAGGAACCAGTTGGGTCTGTTCCAATTTCGTTTATTAATTCTAATACAAATAAGTACATTCTAGATCATACAGGATATTTATCTAATACACAGCCGAACAGACGCAGGCCGAACCTAAGAAGAAGACGCACCATCGATTACAGAAATCGAGACTCCCATTTAAGCTGTATATGTTGTGGCATTTTTACTAACCGATGAACTCCTCTTCGTTGACGGTGCAGGAATTCTAAATATATGTTCAGTTGTGCTCTTCCAGTTGTGCTTCCCTTAAACTGTGCTGTTCCTGTAATTATTAGCGAATCGATTTGAATATTTCCGACCATCATAAAACCATGATTTAAAAATCTTCAGATAAATCGTGCTACGAACAATGATGGGTCGTAAAGTGAAACAAAATGCAGGTTGCGCAAATACATAAAGGAAATGCTTTTTCGTTAAAATCGAGAATGCTATAAACGAAGTGCTAAGAAATGCACATAATTTTTTCGTTTTTGTCATTAATTGTTTCTTATTCTCCCTTTATCATATCTCAACTTTATGACCATTGAACAGAAGCCATGATTGACATCTGTTAGGTAGTTCGATGAAGTCATCATGAAATTGAGAACAATTGTCTAAAAAAAGCAGGGATGAAATAGCAAACTGCACATTGCTGAATGATTAACTCACCGACAACCATAAAAAGCCTGATGCTTAGAAATGTTTCTGCCCTGCAATCGTGGGTAGACTGAAACTATCTTTGTCACCACCAATGTCTGCTGATCAGTAACCTTACCTTGTCCCCTACTGTGACATTACACATATTTAGGTGATATGCATTGTTTGAAAGAAGACGGCGGAAACACAAATGAAGTTGCTTTATGCATTAGCAGTGAACCTACAACTACCAAACATACACCAAGTTTTTTGTCGTCTAATTATCTAGGCAGCAATCAGTTCTGAATTCTTTGGACCTAAAAGTATTTGACATTAACTAAGTGGTCATCGGAATACATGTACAAATCAAAATTTCAATAAGTTTAACTGCTTTAAATAACAAATATGGTTAAACTTTTAGTTACGCATTGGCTCGTACCTAACCATACACTTTTCAGTTTTATACACCTTTCAATCAATTCACTATTCTCAACAACATTGTCTAATAACACCCATTCACAAAGCAATGTGTAAAAACACCTGCTCATAGAGACCTGCAGATGGCTGAAATATTTTGACAAACTGTTTGAAAATGAGCCTAACCAGTACAAGGTGAATATATGTAAAATGTTTAGCTGCCGTAGCATTTGACTCTCTGTTTTAATGGATGGCATGCTATTGAGCAAAGCGACCATTATCAACACGATTTTAAAATCATGGTACCGTACCTAAAATTGCACACTAGTCCAACGGCACATCAATGTCTATAAAGTTCCCCTATATATCCTTGGAAACATAAGATCTTGTCGAAACTAAAATTATCAGTATCAGAGACGAGTGTTTACAAAACTATTAATTTCAAGATTTCTCACCACCGAACCACCAAGCTCGTTGTCTTATCATCACAACAACATCACTGACGACTTGATGTCAAGCGTACTTATTCCTGTGAACAGCAAATTGATCGTCCCTTGCATGTCTACCTCCGGATATGATCAAATAGATTGTCCCTTCCTACTATCATGTCGTTCCTAATTAGTTTGAGAATATCTGCAGCTTGTACTCTTCAGTTTTGTTTTCTATTTGCATGACTTTCCTTGTTGTTTTAAATCTCGTTTTACCTAACGCTAAG